TAAAGTTACTACTTCATCTTACTTCTGTTGTACCGTCGGTGTCAACAGGTATTTTACCCGGATGTAGAAATGTGTCTTCTTGAAATCTGGCGTAGGAGCATCAGGGATCTCAAGGAATCCCTTGAAAATTGACTAGGAATGAATTAAATGTGGAATTTATCATATTATTAAACGTTTATGATTTTTCAAAGAAAGTTTACCGTAACGGCGGACTAGGATTAAATATGTTTGGAAAACAAACTGTGTTAAATACTGCTTTGTCATTAAGCCATTGCTCGTCTAAGCATGTGTTTCCTTGGGAATAGTGCTATTGTAAAATGTTTAAATTTTGTGTTTGAATAGAAAATGACCCTGAAATCTGTGGGGTTAATTCAACACGTAGGGTATAAAGACCATCATAGACAAAGTGCTCCTATAAAGAAATACCAGAGGCTTTAAATTTAGCACCTCCGTCTTGAGATGTATCTATTACTTTTGCCAATTTTTGAAGTTTTGAATGCTTACCATTCCAAATCCGTTCCTCATGTTTTTTATCAGACCAAGCAAGAACCGAATCACCAAAGCGAAGAAGCAGATTGTCCCTGATCCATATAAAACAACTCCCTATAGTGGATGGACAAAAGCTATTCCGATGACTTCAAACAACTTGAGGAAAAGACTAAGCTGGCCACAAATGTTCTACAACGTTCCGGATATATCAAAACCGTTATGCTCTACTACAAGCAGTACATACAAAGAGTCACGTGAACAGAATGGCAAACTAACTCCTCGAATTGTCACCACTTCCAATCTGTGGAAACTCTCTACAAAGTCTGACAAATAAAATCTGAGCATACCATTTCACATTACCTGTAGTATCTCCACAACTGGGTCTAACTGATCTACGTTCGTCTGTTTGCAGGGCACTGCAGAAAGTACGATGTTACCTATGCAAAAAACCAGCCTATGGAAGAATTTATTATATGTGCTCAAAAGGTTTGTTATTTTTCAGCTAGAAAGTTTTAAACTTAAAGCAATGATAGCATTATTTTCAGAGAACTTGAAAATTTCAGAAAAAGGCTTTTCCTCACAAAATCTTCTGTTTGGAAATAAGGCCAAACTTGTTTCATTTTGCAACAAGAATATTTGTGAAAACTTACAGGCGTTGATGATGTTAATTCAGATAAACCTTCAATTTTATGAATTTGCTTAGGTTCTAGCGATACACCAACTGTTAAGTTATTTTTTTACTTATTTTTGAAGAGCACACTTCATAGCCATCCTGCATTCAAGCTCTTATCAAGGGAACAATTCTTAACAAAAATCGGCTAAAATAGGTTGAATATTCATTATGATGAAAATAAGCCAGAACCATTTCATTAACGATTGATAGGTTTCAAACAAGGCTGCTCTCAATGAAAATGTTTCAATTTGTCCAATGATGTGGTGCTATCAAGACCGTATGACCGTTGATTAATGAGAACTAGAATGAAAAATGATTTGGACATTACCAAGGCACAGAGTACAACAACCCAATGCTGTTCCGGAGGAGACCCCGTTGGGACTGTAAGCACAACAGGATTGGGTAGATTACCAGGCTGACTATGAGGGCCTCCAACAGATACAGAAAGAACTGGACTACCCCTAGATAAAACAAATGAGGTTGGAAACAAGATCAGTTGGATTGAAATGGGGGAATTTTGTCCTAAAGATGGAACGTATCTCCTGTTGGTTTCCCCAATGAATCACTTAAACAACTTTCACATATTTCTGGGAGCA